AAAAAAAAAAAAAAAAAAAGGAACCCTGTACCCTTGGTCACGTGACGCTGAGGGAGCCAACGGGCGAGGTTAGTGGCAAAGCGCACACGGCGAACCGGCACCGCGTGCTCAGGGACACAGGCCAGCTCTCATGTTAGTGAGGACCACCAGCCGCAGGTACCTGATTAAAATGCTGGCTCACTTCACGTGATAATGAACTCATTGAACTACAGCGCGAAAGCTACAAAACAGCAAGAACACACATAAAACACGGACAAAAGTCAACATGCGCATCACTGTCCAATCCAAGCCGTCAGTTCCATCTCAAAAGCTTTGTGATGCCATTAGAATCAATATAACTCCAAAGGAAAAAAGCCAGTGTTAGCTTCAGATTCCTGTCTTAACGTAAAGCTGTTGTCCCGAAACAACCATTATCTCAGGGGAGGGCTGGGAGGAAAAGTCCAGCCTTGGCCTAAGCCAGCTTCACCTTCTGACACCTCACAATTCAAGACGATTCCATGCTGTTGAGGGCAGGGGACCGGGACTGAGGTGACAACTCAAACCCCTTCACCCTTCCTGAAGCTCCTAAATGGTTTTGTTAAAACAAGTGCAATCTTTTTCCCCCAGGAACGCCACCTTTGAGGTGCCCTTGTTTCTAAACTGCCTCTTCCTACCCAGTACCGCCCTCCATAAAGGAAGAGGCACCTGGACAGTGAGCTGCTGGGGAGGCCTGGGCTGTGGGAGGCCCTGGCGTCGGCACTGCTTACCTCTCCTCCCTGGGAACCCTCAGGCTTAGAGGAGGGGAGTTCAGAGCCAGGGAGTGACGCTGCAGAGCTTAAAACCTGCCAAGAAAAAGAAAAATTGCAGCAACCAAATCCCAGGGAATTTAAGCCTCTCACCCCAGGCCAAAAAATAGGAAGCTGTTCTGGCCTGGGTTGCAAACGCCCTCTTCCACGTAAAGTGCTCCTCAGAGAGAAGTGAAAAGAAAGGTGCCTCACACGCGGCTCCAGCCGCACAACTCTGCTGGCTCTGGACCCCCGCAGCTCTCTCCCAGTTGCCTGTGTGTCTATGACAGGCTTGCAGTCTGGGGCTACTGTTATTCCCATTTTACAGAGGGGAAAACTGAGGCTTAGAGCGGTGAGTGACTGTCCAATGCTTTACACAGCTGATGAATGGAGAACAGGATTAGGCCCAGGCCTGTCCCACTCCCCCTGTAGAGAGTGCAGTCTGAGCTGTTCTTTTTTTTTTTGAGATGGAGTCTCGCTCTGTCGCCCAGGCTGGAGTGCAGTGGTGCAATCTCAGCTCACTGCAAGCTCCGC